TATATATATATATATATATATATATATATATATATATATATATATATATATACATATATATATATATCAACCGATGCGAATTAAACGGAGTGCAGATGGCATAAATTATAGCTTTCTAATGTGCAATAACTTTATCCATAGGTATGCGTTGCTCTGAATAATAAAACAGTCTTAGTGATTCTGGTTATGCAGGTTTAGTAATGTATTTTTTTACAGGATGTTCTTTGGGATCAATCGCTGCATTTTGAGCTCAATGCGGATACCTGCAAATATTTAAACGTAATTGTGCGGGCGAGGCCAATAACTTTTAATGCAACAGATGTCACCATTTCACAGGACAACCAAGTCGGAAAGGATGATTCTCAAATGCTGGGATATGTGCGTTTTGAAATAAGATTGAAAATCACTAGAATTTCCAATTAAAAAGTGTACGGTTGCATTTAATTGCAGACAAGTATTTATATACCGCAGATGCTAGACGACTGTCAGCTCACTTCGTCTAATTGTCATCAAGAACTGTTCACTTTACGACCGCCATTTTGGATTGCAGCAAGGTAATTTCGAACACTGCAATTTTCATTGAAGTTTTGGCAGCGGTAAATAACTAGATATTGATGGGAAAAGCTGTCGAAGATGTTAACTTTCTACTCCGAATTTTTTTCTTTGTTTAGACGGCCACTAACACGAAAAGCTGCTGAGGAGAGCCACCGAGCTGGTTTCGATGAACGCCTTTGTTATGGGGACATTCTCCTAGGCTTTCGTTATTTTCCTTCAGGCCTTCCAACGAATGTTCAGAACAGATCGAGGTACTTTTTAATTGCATATGATCTCAAAAGGATTTATGTCTTTCACAAGGAGGAATTTCAGAACTGCTTTCACTGGTGTGGACCTGTTTTATTTTGCTTGTGCCTTTCTAAGTTATTGTCAAAGAACTTAGTTTGGAACTTTTTTAAAATGAGCTACCTTATTAATCCGCAGATATTTGATAGGAGATTTATGAAAATATATTCATTTTGCAACGTATTATGAATGTTCAACATCTTTTAGTGTGGGAAACGCTGAATGTGTAAAAAATGTCGCAGAAATCAGTAGGACGAACAGTTTTGAAACATCATCGGAAACCAAGCATAATTTCGAAACAATATTGCTGAGAGGTTTATCTTTCATAAGTTATTTTGCAAAAGCAAAATACTCCTTGTGTTTCACTTCCACTTATTTCTTACAGGTACAACTGTTTGTGCAGTTTGTCGAGGAAAAGTTTGGCTAAAAATGGCTTCACATTGTACAAGTTGTTTACTGGTATGTCATAACAAATGCTTACCTAAGGTTGACACTTCCTGTTCTCAGCATCCTCCCATCGACGATGCAACATTTGAAGTTAGTATTTTATTAGAGCAGGCACAGCTCTTGTGAGCTTTTCAAAATACATGGGAATTATATAGTTGTTAAGAAAATAAATAGCATTAAATGAAGTTAGTGTTTTTTTATATTATTGTCTATAGGATACAACTGGAAGGTGATGTTAGAAAAACCGGAACAAAAATTTTTTCCTTTTACATCTGTGCATAGTATGCCTATATTCCATTTCGGATACGGATTATATCATTTGTATTTACGTAATAGAAGTAAAAAGTCAGCCAAGCAAACAGGTTAGTTATTAAGCGATTTGATCACAACGAAACAATGATCAGCTGTCGTAGAGATGGAAGACAATGGTTGAATAAAAGGAGAAAAAATGTATATGTAAGGAGCCGTAGTCCATATTCAAGGAAGAATAGTTAACTCATTTATTTATTCGGACTTACCAGGAGCAGCAGCATCGACCAAAGATCCACGTATAAGAGGAGATCGGCTGAGAAACGAAGTTTAGGGGAGGAGGGGATTAGGTGTACAACTCAACAAGCAAGTGGATTAGTCAAGTAAAATGGGAAAGTCCGAAACGGAACCAACGGTTTATAAGTACATTCTCTGGACAATAGTATTCACTTTGCATGCTGAACTTTTTAATTTTCGGTTTTGGACGAGTTGCATACAGACTCAAATGAAGGATCCAGTTTGCTAGAGGATATCGCAAAGAACCTTCATGTAGCAACAGAACTCAGCTTGCCATCATCAAGTTATTTTTTCTAGTATTACACTTCTTCCTTCTAGCAAAGAAATTTACTAATTTAAGGACTGAAGATTACTTTGATTTTTTGTATTCATCCACCAAGCGTAACTTTAGTTTCTTGCTGGCATTTTTTCATATCATCTTATAGTGCAATTCGATTAACAAGGAAAGTGGTATTGTAATGTTTTACATTAGTCGTATAGTGCGTAATGTGTGACAAAGATGATTTAATCAAAAATTTTATGAAGATAGAATTAACGGTGATTGATATCCCTTCAAATATTTGGAAATATACGTAGAAGAAATGGGTGCATATGCTTACAGCTCTAATACTACCGAATTATCTTGAATTTACCCGAATTAATATCCGAATTGGTTCCGGCTGAGCCATAATTTAAAAATTTTGTAGTGTATGCTTTTACTAAAAAATGTTTGCTTGATAGGATCTGACGAGCGACTACTGTCTAAGCGACGTCGTATTGCAGTTAAAGTATCTGAAAGGCTTAGTTCTACATGGAAAAGTGTTGAACGCAGGAGAGCGTCCTTTCATCCATTAAGAAAAAGTAAAGGAACTATTGATTAGTGATTTTACTCATCTCAGGGAATATTATCGTTGCTTTAATCTTATCTAAAGTTATCATTTTCAGAGCAGAAAGCCCCAGTTATTCAGATCGGGACCGATGAGGTGGTGCCAGTCGAAGTGAGATTTAAATAAACTTTGAAAACAAAATTAGCATGTCTTTGCGATACCTGTTCTGAGGGTTTGCCATAATATTTGGGCGAGTTCTAAACTAATATATTTTCAAAAATATAAAGTCCTTAAGGCATTGTTTAACTTGATATTTTTATTCAGAGAGCAATACCGGACGTCTTTACAATGTTAGAACTTTCGGGAAATTTAAGTCAGATGATGTACCAACCAGGAAATGCATATAATGAACAGATGATAAATGCTGCCAAGATAGATGGTAAAGATATGTTCTCTGATCTGGATCCTATTAAAAGGAAAGCGAAAATAAATGAAGATGCAAGTTCCTTTTGATTGTCATACTGTATATAACTACGTAAAAAGTTTTTTCTTTTTTTTTTCAAATCTTGGATGATGTGCATTGTGAATACAGCTGTACATCATTTCTGGCAATATTAATCTGCAGTGTTACAAATTGGTACTTTAAGATAATTCATAATCATTAAGTTATGCACAGCTGCCGAGTTACTTGTTATCCTGTTATTAATTAACACCATACTACTACTGTATGGTCTGCTGCTTCATTTTTGCCGATTATAAAATCATAGTTTAACCTACAGATGGAGAAAATTCGAAGCATTATACATCATACAACTGTTGAACGCTTGGATGTAATGAAAAATATGAAAGATACTCAAAGCTCTGGTTCTATCAATTTTGCAGTTTTGGAGAACAGACTGCAAGCTCTCGCGGTTCTCATGCTGCATTATTGTGCTGCTTTACAGGTATTCTTCTATATTGGTTCTGGTACAGAGTTTTGTAGTATTGTATGTTTTTCATTTCCAAGGACGGAATTTCAGAATTGTATTGATCTAGAAGAAAGCTGTGAGTATCAGTATCAAAACAAAAATATATCTAATGATCCAGATGATAGCTGAAACGCCAATGCCTTCCCCAGGGATGAGAAGTTAGAAGGCATTACCGACGAATTTTTCGCTGATTCCCTTAATAAATTTCAAAAGTCCTACGACTCTCTAAATATTCCATTCATGCAGAAGTTGTTTTAGCTTTTTCGATGGAATCAAAAAAGTTTAACATTCGTGAAGAAAATTTTTGTTTCCTGCGAGTGGTGTCTTGTTCATAGATGTAGTATTGTGAATTTCTTTTTTTAAAGCATTGAATAGGGTATTCTTGCTCCATAAAACATTTCAGCTTACCGAATCCGTTTTTTAAATAAGCCATTATTAGGAGTATTTTTCCCACTTGCGTATACTTGTCTCTTCACAGGATATGGGTTACTTGACACCATATGTTATTGCTAAAATTTTCTTGAACACCTAAAACTCCTAAGTCCTGAGATTTTTGACGGATCACAATAATTTTTCTGTTTATAACGAAATAAGGAAAAATTTGATATTTCGCTATATCGTAACCTTGTCGAAACTAATTTTCCAAAATTGTTTCAAGACGTCTTCATGCAGCTAACATTGTTTGGGTCGTGATCTATAAAATGCAACTTGGAAGTGGCATACACATGGTATCAGCGTTAGTGGACAGAACATTATGAAGCAAAGTAGCCCACAAACCCATTCCCTGAACTTCTTATAACAAAATATGGAAAATCCTGGTATGGATAACTTTTTATTTTCATTCTAAAACGGGATTCAAAATTGCAGATGGTCAGGAAGAACACAAATTTAGTAACTGTACGGGTATTTTTTGGTTCTTTTAAGGTTTCTCTCAACCGGTTTGCGAGCTTCTCCATGTTTCATTACTTTCCTTTTTTTTATTGTCATTTTTCTCCATAAAAAATATTTTTCTATAATATGGTTTATTCTCGATAACCTTCTTTAGCTTGATTTTTCATGTAAACTTCAACTGTTATCTTTTGTTGCTGTACCTCATGCCTAAGTGTTTGTTATTCTGATGTGCAAACGCAGTAAAATGTTTCGTATACATTTGGGAAGCTGATAAGAGAAATAAATTTTAATACATATCTGTTTTATTGTTTTGTCGTCTCTGTTCAAACAAGACTTGTTCGACACTGACTGAGCTCCTGACATTTAATCGTTTTAATACGCTTACCAAAGCTTTCGTAGAAATGTGGCATACAATGGCTTGTTTCTGGATGCTGTATTTGGCTCCAGTTTTTGATTCTATATTATTATATACTTGATTTTGCTGCACTTATCCATGCATTCTCTTAGGTCTATTTCAAGCAAAGTGCTGAAGTCGCGAGTCATGTTTCTTAGGCTTTTTGAGGTGTTTTTTTATAAATGGGTATGACTGTTTCGAAGATTAGTTGGAATAGTGAAATGGAAATGAATCATGTGGTGTGCAACTCTCAGATTTCGGATCTCAGCTCGAACAGATCATTTCAAATTCAGAAATTTTATTTCCAAATCAACAAAGTGACTTCCAAAACTTGTTGAACGTATATATATATATATATATATGCGTTTCGAGCATTGATTTCGGTTACATTTAGTTGTAAACAACGATATTCACTATTGCCATGATGTTTGCATTACAGATAAATGATTCACAGAGACATACTCTTCAGTGACATGGAAATGATGATCGCAGAATAGTTTACCGTTTTTATTTTCGCTCAAAGTATGCGTTCATGTGTTCTCATTATAAATGTATATGGTATATTACAAATGGACACTGGAGTATTACATTGATAGCAACGAAGCCATAAACACATACCCTTTATCATTAACATTTTATCAATTGATTCATGTATCATTTATGCTCACCATGCAATTTACATTTCTTACAGTTCCTAGCAAGTACTTCTGTATATATTAACACTTTCGTTAATACTATAGTAACTTCTGTCGCACGTAAACATTCATCATTTTTATTATTTTTATCATTTATCTTATTGTATATTTCAGTGCCACATTTATTACAGCTTACTTGGGTGGGGTTTTCAAGTCTTTTTCCAAGTATCAGTGCTAAAGTTTTCAAAATTCTAGGATGTCCATTTGATTCTTGGAACAAATTTTGGGCACTTCTTGCTTGAGTTTCTTGAAATTTACTTTTCGGAATTCCTTTCGATCAAAAAAAACCTTGTAATACACTTAGTAACTTTCTAACTGAACTCCATCCAGCAGGTAAAAGGATTTCCCGAAATATTTTCTGCTGTAGCACCCGATTTATTAATTACTGTAACGGTAAGCCGAAGCCTTTTGTACAGTAATATTTTTTTTGCCATTAGTAACTTTATTAACACTTTTTTTGTGCCGGTTCACCTAACACTGTTACAGTTAAAATTGTTTGCATTAAAAAATTATGTTTTTGCATTTCGGTGTGTATCTATCCTTTCTTTGTGTTACCTAGGAAGAACTGGGAGCCCGGAAAGGTTTTTGCTCTACTTCTTTGGTTTTTTTTTTTCTCGGCTACATATTTTGACATGAAAATGTATTTCTTTTGGTTTTTTTAACCATCATCGATGTGAAGCAACAATAACGGACTTGAGGACCAAACGTAATGAATGAAATTTGGGCTATTTGAGCTTTTTTTCGAGCTTTTTCTAATTTGAGCTTCTTTAAACATGATGTCACTGGTTTTTTACGCGTTGGGATTGACAGTGTGTTGAAACATGCTCGAAAACATGATCTGAGTTCATCCTTGAGTTTTTCAAACCAAAAAAATTTCGTAACACACGTCAATTCCGTAACGTAATTTAAATGTATGCGCGGTGGCATAGTTTTGTTGCGCTATTAAGTTCCGCCAAGCGTTCACTATCCGCGAAAATGTTAAATTCTTTTTGTTCATCCGCTGTGATCAGTTCATGTATGAAGCTAGTATTGTAAGCGATGCCACTGCTTAATGCCAGTTCTTGCTGAACATTGAATTCACTTGGCCCAGTATTATAGTGAAAGTACCCTGGGTGATATTATGAAGTGAAGAACATCTGATCGGATAATACGTTGTAGTGGCTAAGAAGTCTGTTATTTGTTAGAAAAATGATTAGAGGCATGGATGCTCTAAAATTCGATCTTTGTTAGCTAAAGGACGACAAAAAAGACGACTTGGAGTTGTGGGCAAGCAGACTGGGAAGGCTGCATGATACATATCGTAAATTTGGAGAATTGCGAGCTCAACGGATATTGAAAAATTTGCCATCAACTACTAAGACTTGGTTCGAACTTTCTAGATGTGAGGAAAAGTGCATTGCACGACATGACATGCGCGTTGTGAAAGAATATACGTTGGATGGTACGACATGCGCACTGAATGTTGTAATCATTGAGAGTATTTTAAAGCAATGTTGTAATCATTATTTAGTGCATTGTAGATTGTATTTTATGAGTCATTTAACCTGATTAATATCTCAGTGCCAAATTTGCAAGAATTTCTGTGGAAGTAGCTCTTCGTTGAGTTGGAAATCCCCCTAAAATTTATTTATCAAATTTGTAAAGTCAATTCGGTATAGTGTAGCAACAAACAGCAGGAAACAAATCATTTGAAGGCGATAATTTTTTTTTGGAAGAATCAAAAAGTGCATCAGCTGCTTTAACACTGGCAGTGGTCAATGATTCCCCAGCGTTAACATATAAAAGTACTTTTGTACGAGAGCACACTGGCACTAAGAATCGAGGGAACTGTATTTACAGAAAAAAAACAAACCGACCCGGTTGTCCTGGTGGTATCGCTTCCCGTACTTCCTCTCCTTTCTTTTGGCCCTGCTTCAATCTACCACTGATTAATTTTTGAATTTTCGGCAAATTGATTTTGGGATTCATACCTAATATGTATTTAAAGAAGATGAATCTCTTTAGTTTTCAAAATGGAAAAATATCGACTATGTCTGCATGGACAGAATTGCTATCCTGATTATCCGGCGAAAACTAAATGCATCAATTTGTTTTGAAAATCCATAGTGCATAAAGAAAGGTTCGAGTCACTGAAAAAGATAACTTTCCGACTTAAGAAAAAGATCAAAATTTGTTAGAAACCCCCAGCTATATTCCCAGACCTCTTTAGTTTATTATATCTTTTGGAATACTTCACAACAAGAAATATTTCACTAAGCAAAAACCTATCTAAGATCGATGGAGAGATTTATGCAACGGCAGAATATTAACATTGTGCAAAAGCTTCCAGAAATTATGAACAATTGTGGTAATGCCGGTTTTTTTGGTTACACTTTTTGAATATTGAAATAACCCCAACTAGTATGACTAAACAGTACTGAAGTTTAGAATTTCTTTCCATTTTCATTATCATCAGTCGTCAGTCATATTGCATTTTTACTGGTACTTTTTGAAAAAATATTTTGCAAACTGCCGATGCAAGAATCAAACGAAGACTAACATACTCCTTTTTCCAGACATCATGTACTATATATTTTCATCAAGTTATGAGATACAATCCCAGTCAGTCTGAATATACTTTTATCTTCCAGAACAAAAATTTGGAAAATTTCAAAAGTGCTTTGTCTTAATATTAGTAAATCTCACATCAGTGTCCCTTTTCAAAGCCTGATATCGCCCTGACTCATTGTATATTTCGAAAAATTATGTTTCCAGCATTTACAACAGCCGAAAAGAATATAAACGCATCCCTAATAATTCTAAGCCATGTGGCAATGCTCTTTGAATCATAATACCAAAACCAAATTCTTCAAGTGATAGCTTTGAGCTAACGAATTCTTAGATAATGGTCTTACACCTGAACCAAAAAGAATTGGAGCGATCAAACTTTTTTGTAAATTGAAAACTTCTGTTTAATTCTACATCCACAGCATAAAAGACCACACCACTTGCCACAGACAAAAACAATGAGCATTCAGGGTTCCAAATGAAATTAAAAAAACCAGAAATTGTGTCGGAAACAAATTATTGCCTTGGTCAGCCGAGCAGGAGGTTAGAGAAACGGTGAAAAGGGGAAAGCATCACCCATCTTGACTACTTTAATGAAGCATTTCATGATAAATGGAGATGTTATGCATCGAACTGAACCTAAATCTTTTAATTCTCAATTAACTGCAACTGATGGACAAAACAAAACCACAGCGCACTACACAGTTTTACGTCCGAATCCCACACAATATTCCAGATCCATTTACCTGCTTCCTTTACCATACTATTTCATTGCAAAAAGGCCCAAAAAGAATAGAGATTTGAACTTCTAACCAATTAAACCAAGAGCTGAATATATCGACCCTGCAATTAAACGCAGCTGGAGAACTTGCAGAGCGTCTCCAAGTTCTTTTGAAGTTGACAAACTGATCCATGTCTCAAGCCAATAGCATGTTAGTATAATTCACGTACAGAGAAAACCAATTATTTGCTGCAATGTTTGTTCTTATAATTTATAATGCTATGATAATTACCGAAATATAAACTGTCTTTAAATACAGAAGATACAGCTTACCAACCGAAAGAAAAACATAGCTCAGAAATTCAAAAGAAATGAAGTAAAATGAATATAATCCTTCTCCTCAAACAGTTAAAAATATTGAAGAGATTGAAGACTACACTTCACCTTTCATTCATACAAACATAAACCTTAGTTTCTAGTACGCAGGCATAATCTTGCTCATTCTTCAAAAAAATGGAAAAAGCCTTTGCTTACAGTCATTTGAATTTATCAACGGTCAACCACAGTTCAACTTCCAATCAAATGACACTACGACTGGATTCCAGATAGTGTGAGGAATGTGGAGAGTTGAAAATTGGGTTTTGCAATAGCAAAGTACGAGAAATTTTAAGAAAACTATTACCACCAAATACTTGAAAATGGATGCTTATATGTCGACTAAAGATATATTACGTCAGAAAAACAATACAATGTGCAAGCAATAAAAAACGTTAGCACATAAATGCATTCAATGACTGTCGATAAAAACAATTGATGATAAAGGTTTGAGCATCTGATTACGAGATATCATCTCAGAATTTGGGCTGTCATTTATATACGTTTTTGTTAGATCTGTTAAAATCCTTGTAATTCTGCCTAACAGAAAATGAAATGAGAGTAATATGCTTTGTCCGAACCAATGCATTATATTATGCAAGTCATATTTTAAAATGTAGGCGTCATCGCCACGACACCCTCCCTTCCTTTTATATAAAGATTTTCCCTAAATAAAAGCAAAACCAAATCTTGTATTATAAAACATGTGTCTTACCGAAACTCAACATATCAGCAAAACTGTAATTGACAATTAAGAAGGAAAGTTTAATTACCTTCATTACTCAAGCCCTGACCATGACATAACAGAAAAAAAAATGCAAACAACAATGGTAGCAGTGTTAGAGAGTTTGCAGACAGATCATCCTATTAGTTTTACCTAATGTTGTGCCTCCTTTGAAATCTCAAGATATAAGATATTGTAAAACAATTGATACGCTGTAAAACATTACTTGAAAACAAATTTCACCTCCAGATCCAAATTTGCCCACAGATTTCGCGACAGTATCACGTATTAGGATTAAGTAATAACCACTCACCACGTTGGCACGTACCAATAGGACATATTGAGTGACTAGAGCGCAACAACGAGCAACAAAAACAAAAGCGTTACATTACCTATAGCTGGAACATTACTCATCAAATCAAGAACGAGAAATGGTTAATTGTATCATCGCTTACATTTGTTGCTTAATAGGTTACCACCGTTAACACCATAAAAATTAATTTTAGCAAAGATTCTCAAATACGTGAGTTTGTAGTAATAGGGCAGAAACTGTTCTCATTACGGAATTTCAGAACGTACTGTAATGTGAGTGAAAATGTAATTCGACACGATAATTCCATGTAACAATAAAACACTAATCAAATGAGCAAATGATGACTTTGTTTGACCTAAGATGGTAAGAGACGAAACTCCGAACAAAATAAACCTCTACCACTTATAATCTGTTCAAAACCTCTCCTATCCGAGACAAACCATGAAAGGTTGGGGTACTGCTAAAACTAATTTACATGGTTACGAGATTCAAAGCTACCAAATCAACTAGTTATAATATTTTTTTCCTAATGCTTCTCGTCGTTATTAAAATATATAGCGAGACTTAATTCATAAATACAGTCCTTAAATGCTGTGACTGCTATGCAAGACCAAGAAAGTCACCATTAGTAACAAGCTCCATTTCAGGCGAGTAAGAACATGTAACATTCATCAAGGCTTTCATGACAACCATAAATGAGAGATCTATCTTACAGGATTATTCCTAGCATATCGTAACAAAGAAAAGACTGTGTCAGTAAAACATCAGAACAGAATATCGAATGCTGACACTGAATGAAATGTGTGTTTTGGCAGGATGACGAGCCAAGCTGTAACAGAAACATTCTCGACTCGAACTCACTTTTGGTTTGAATTCACAAAAAAAAAAAAAAAAAAAAAGAAAAAAAATGACAGTACGACAGCTCCTAGCCGTTACCATCGGAAAGACGAACTTCTGAAGAACCTAGCCAGTTCCGTCAACCGCGGCTCAACAAAAATGTACTTGTCCCATCAGATACGCGGCAACTTCGAAACTGAAACGCAGTAAGTAGAAATCCAATTTAAAATCAGCATAAAAAAAGAAATCATGTTACATGATAACTGTTTAACTCAAAAACCACCAAAAACTGATCGATTTGCATTATGAAAACAACAAACCAAGAGAAGCAGCATTAATACTGGTTTCCATAGAGATAAGGTTAACACAGCACTCCGGAGGTCTCGGCAATCGCCTTCTCAGCCAAGGATGCTTCAAAGCCTGTTGAGGAGTTAGCCGCGTATCTGGATCCCAGTCCAGACACCGCCTCAGAAAATCAACGAATAAATCATCACCCTGAAACAATCAGCCGTAAAAGTTTTCGACAGACTTGAACGGAATATTTTCCATTTGACTAGCTATCTTTAGCAGTAGATATAGTAGAAGTGCCTGATTTTTCAATGCAGTGTTCCAAGACCGACTTCCCGGAGGACCTCTCGGTTTACCGCGCTTCGACCGTCCTCCAGAAACTGCTACAGTTCCATCTGACATTGTAGTTATAGTGCAGTATCGTGGATAGCCTCGCGATGAAATGAAATTACGTGTTCTTTTGGCATTCTCAGTGACTTTAAGAGGTGGAACACCAAGCAATTCAATTATTAACGCCAACTGAAAAGAAGCAGTTCAGGAACAGGCAAACACCATATTGTATTAAGCTAACAAAAAGCTAACGTGTGAAAGGTTAGTGCAAAAAAATGTTGTATTGACTCCAATTTTTCTAAGCAGAGACAATAAACAAAGGAAAAGAGGCGCCATTATTGGTAATGTGGAAAAAGCTAAAGAAATTAGTACAAACCTGATCACTTTCATCTTCTCCAGGTAAAAGTGGATATCCAGTAAGCAATTCAGCTAGTATACATCCAAGTGACCACATATCGATAGGCATCCCGTATTTTCCACCCATAATCACTGAAAGAGCCTTATTTTTAGTGTTATACTAGGTTCCAAAAAGCTCAAAGTTTCCCAAAACACTTCCTTCCACAAGCTTACCTTCTGGAGCTCTATAAAACCTCGACTGGATATAAGTGTATACTCGTTGATCATCAAAACATGAAGAACCAAAATCAATAACCTAAAAATGAGTATTTTGTTTTGGACAAATTAAGAAAATTTACAGAACAATATCAAAAAAAGAAAAAAAAAGGAAAAAAAGGAAAGGAACTGAGGAATCATAATAACTAAATAACCGAATGAAGAAATAATAAAAAAAAAAACTGAAATGAAGAAAAAACCTTGATGCCACTCCTACCCTGCTGTTTTAACAAAACATTCTCTGGCTTCAAGTCACAATGAATAAGCCGATTACGATTAAGCAAATCAAGACATTGCAGCATCGAATGAGCGAATTTTCGAACGAGCTAAAAATCTTTCGATAAATACGACAGCAAATTCAGGGATGGCAGACACTTCTCGTAAAAGATTACTGAACCTTACAGTTGCAAATGGATGCATGTTAAGAGAAAATATATCTGAAAACTAAATCTTGAACAGAATATATACCTGCAGGCTAAATCCCTGGAATTTGTTCTTCTTGATAAGTTCATACAGATTAATGCTCAATAGTTCAAAAGTAATGCACTTGTGATTTCGAAAATTAAAATGATCTAGCATGTGAATGATATTATAAGCACCCTCTGGGTCTTGCCTTCGCAAATGATCCTGAAAAGTACTGTATATTCTTTAGCCAACAGTAATTACTTCAAATAGTTGTAAAACGTTTCCAACCATTTAACTTTACTTCATCCAGCAAATAGTTGATCTTTTACACAACAGTAAATAGAGCAAAATAATAGGATCAATTTATCTGATAAACGGGCTTACGAGAATTCGAATTTCTTCTTCTGCCTGGCGGTGAAAACGCTTTTCGTTACGAACAAGTTTTAAAGCAACATACTGCTGATGCTTGTGATCATATGCTCGTATTACCTGTAAATATAGTTCGATGGAACTAAGATCAGGACAAACATAGATTCTTCCCCTTTTATTCCCTGAAGAATACGAAATATGTGAAATAAACAGAAGAATCACACACTTTAGAAGTCATAAAAAATCCTGAATAATGTGTAGAACCAAAATAAGAGCAGCAATAAAAAAATACAAACCTGACCAAAGCTTCCCTTACCAATAACTTTTAGCACCTCGTAACGATATGCGATGTGGTCGTGAGCAACAAGAAGGTAACTTCCCATATCATCGTCATAACCGCAATTATTGTGAGAATTAACGTTGTTAGTCCGTTTTTTCGCTTGAGATCCAACAAAATAAACACGAGGATAATTGTAAATTTCTGAGATTTCGAAGGGTGTGAGCTTACTTCCAAACGTCCGCACGGCATCTTCCGGACGATATCCCTACAATGTAGCGCTACAGATAAATATATTACAGACCAGTTCAACAATAATTCTAGTATAACTAGATTTTTTTTTTTGTCCTAGTATAACTGAATTAGAAGTAAAAACTGCGCTCAGAAAATTTCTTCATTTCCAATGTTGAGAGCTTTGCATTATTTGGTACTACAACAAGAAAGAAACACTTCCCATGCAGGCGACAACAAATGAAACAACTTGAACTCATTACATTACTGTTAGCGCACAAATTCTTTTTTCTCTATCGGTTAATCAGCAAGATGGAAAACAGAACAGATATTCTACCGATATTAAAAAAAAAACACCTTATTTCCACTGCTAACATTCGTATTTGTTGTCCCATTCGAGTTGCCACCACCGCTACCACCGGAAGATGATGTGCGAGATCTGTAAACCAGTTTTTTGGACACCCATAATGGATGGTTTCACTGGAAGAAGTAATACTTATGCATGAAAATTCATCAAAAGTACCTCAAAGACTCATCAGATGGACTTTTAGCGATCTGCTGTCGTAATTCGACGCCTTGTCCAATTGCAGAAAGTGTGGAGACAGATGATGAAAGATGTTTTGAAGCGGACGACACGCCAGATGACGTTGAAGAATCGCCACCTCAAAAATTTTCACGTTCATGTAATGCCTAGGAGATAGCCGTTGCATACGTTTAAGTATTAGTGTAATTCATATCAGTTTTTTACTTACTCTAGGTTGAGTAAGACGAATCAGTACGTAGGCACTGCAGCATAAATTTTAGAAATACCATTTGCAAAATTTGCATCAAGTATGGTGAAAATATACCAATTGCACTGCTACTCGTTGCCGATGGAATTGTTGCTGCTTCAACGGCACCACCACGGGCAAGCACTTCGATCATAGTCTGAATACGCAATGGTGGTAGGACATCGATAGCTAACGATGTTAGGCTGACAAATTTAAGTGATGCTTGGCTCCTGGGGCTGCACGTGCCACAATCCCATATGTCGCGCGCACTATAAATGTAGGAGAATTGCAAAAATAGTACAACAACATTCCCATAGCATAACATAGAAAGAATCATGGATGTGAGATTAACCTAACAAGGAACCGCAAATGAGTGAGTCGGCCGATTAACGCTTAACGCAGATCTGTTCTCATTAAATTAATAAGTAAAAACATAATGCTGCAAAAGTCAAAAACTATTTTAACTGGTTATGATAAAAAGTCCATATATATTATAATATAAAGTTATAACAAGACAATTTGATGGAAAGTACTTATCTCGAGTTAGCATGAAAAAAAAAAGATTTCGACGAGTGAATACCACTTTGCTACTGAAGTGCGACCTTCTTTGGTGATAATTCTAAAAAAGTGGGTAAGGGTAATGCCTGGTCCAATCGACAATACAAAATGTTTACAAGTATTAGGCGTTTTCTTTGTCGCGTCGTAACAATTCGCTGCCTTTGATAAGCGTGCCCTCTGTCCTAGCAAGCGAGAATGAACAGTACTTGCTGTCGGCGGGATCAATACTGATGGTCAACTTTTTGGGTGCACGGCCGTTACCACTGGGCCTCGCTTCAGCGCCAGGCGAATATTAAAACAAAGACGCCTCTACCGAGACCCGCGCTTCTTGCTGAAAAGTAATTAAAATTAAAATCACGCATCTCCGCAGATGTAAGATTCCATCTTCATATAACTCGTGTCAGTGAAGTTCACCATACTTCACAAAATGAATCAGCAGCAAAATGGAAAAATATTTCGGAAGAAAATTCAGTACATATTAAACTGGAGGCAAATGACAAAATCGGAATGCAGGAAAAGTTGCAAAATTACTGTTACCAATCGGAAACACTGATATTTCTATTAAAGCTAGTGGACGAGTGCCAAGAAACTAAGGTGGCAGTGTTGCTAAAGAAGTTCTAGGTAATTTGAATATGTCAGATTTGAAGGCATTCCCTTAGATACAGCTCACAGCGACACCAACAAGGTAAAAAGCTCAAATACAAATTAAAACTTGTTTAAAATTTGTTGAGATTAATCACCCCAAAGGAGTAATCAAAGAAACAAGCAATTAGCAGCAGAAAATCGTGGCATCTTAGCGTGCAACCAGCTAGAATTACTCGATATCACCTTCCGAAGTAAATAATTTGCATGAAACTACACCATCTATCCGCCTTAAGGGGTATCCATCCCTTATCGCTGTGCTTCAACGCCTATGATGTGGACAAACACACAAGCGGACAGAGCTGTGACACAGTTACCGAGACCGAACTGATATACACATACATATACAAACAAACGCACACACAACATACACATACACACATACATACACACATACACATATATATATATACACATAGATACATACATGTACACATAGATACATAAGTACAAACATAATGTATATATATATATATATATATATATATATATACGTATACACACACTCTAACGAGGACGCTGGGCATCCCAACCAAACGACCGGTAATTCGAGGTACCGTGCGGGAGGTTGTGACAAGCTAAAATATAGTAATGCTCAGAAGCACAGCGGCCATAGATTGGACTAAGCAATGCGATAAGTGTCGGAGATGAAGGGAGTCCCTTTAGAGTAGTTAAGATAACAGCATCGAACCATATACACCATAGATGGACATGCTGCAGGGATCGTCACACAACAAATCAAACTCAACAACCTTGGATGAGCAAGTCAACCAGTAACGTCAACACTATTCACTCTCCTCTTTCACTCCTTTTTCCCGTTGGAAATCTGTGTTGTACTACTGCTGCAACAACAATAGCTACTGAATCGCGGCTGCACAATTACAATTCTACTCGAATAACGAGTGAATGCACCATCATCAATCACCACGACCGTGAATATATCATCATCATCATTATCCGCCATCATCATTATCATCATCATTATCATTAATCATCATCATACATCATTCATCATT